CAAGACAATGATGTATGAACGGCGATTTCCTTGGACACATTACATTTGGAAGAGAACAAGAGGTATTTTTAACTTTGGAGGGCCGGGCCGTCCAGTTTGTCCTTTGTTTTGTGTAGGAAGTTAAAGCAAGGATGCTCCAGGACCAAAGGCGGCATATCAACATCTGTTACCTCGAATTTCTGCGCACACTTCTGAAGGTCATGCAGCGAAAATGGAATGCTGCAATGAGATGTGCCGTGAACAATAAACATTTGTGAGCAGGCTTTAAGAAAACAGAGTGACTTGTTGAACATGGAAGAGGAAAATAAACCTTCCATCAGCATCAAATAAGAAAGGAACGACCACTCCATTTTCTGATTCTTCAGTCATAATTGTTTTCATACTTGTGATTACCTGCAGTTTGTTTTCTTTTGTCAGAAATATGTGAAACTTGAACAGACTGGCAAATTACTAACTAGAACAGGCTACCTCTGACGAAACTGTTTGGGTGCCAAATTTATCATCCCGATACATCGTACTGATACGGTATATCTGTGCTATGCTAAGGACCTGAAAGTTTGTAAAACGAGTGATAAGTTGTCCAATAGGTGTTGATGAGTGACTAAACTTAACTGATTGCAAATACCACTTACAGGGCACAAATCGTTGGTGATCTCTTCCAGTGTTTTCTTTGGCTTTTCAATAATAACCTAATGCTAATATTCGTTAGATTATCCAATGTTTACCCATAAAATTGCAAATCAAACACCCCATCCCTCGGACAGCACCGGCACTTACAAGGAATTCAACAGCCTGCCTAATGTGCTTCAGTTCTTCCCAGGAACAGCCTGCATACTATGTGTACCATATCATTAGCATACAGATTAAAATGTCTAGAAAAAATTCATCCATACCTCTTCAGTCGCATCAATGATCCACTGTTCTAACTCTGCCAATCCAGCCTTGACATATTCTCCGTGGCTAAATGAAGAGCACTCTCCTCGGAGAAGCACGCTACAAGATACAGAGTATCATAGGAGCCTTAAGGGGGAAAGTACAATGAAGCACAGAGCTCGGGAAGGATTAAATTTTACCTCATGAACAACTGGACATTAATGAATGAAAATATTTGACCGAACAGCTTGCAGATTAAGAATGAAGGAACCTGTACAATATCGATAGAGCACATGTCAGTGCACATCGTTACTTAAAAGCATTATGCAATAACTCATTCATGCTTAGGTTACATACATAATTGGATTTCAAAACACCCAGGTAGTTTGTTATTATTTTCACAATACTCTGCCAATGGCCGATCTGCTGGGCCAAGACGTTTGCAACAGAAGCTCCATGAGTCCGACTTATGCGAGCTGTTCTCGGTGCCTGCAAAGAAAAGTGTCGGTAAAACAAAACCTTGAGGCTCACCTTTATTTTATACATCAAATAATTTCTAGTACAATTTGTTCATACCTGAATGCAATGACCAAGAAATGGAGATATCTCTCTCTTCAAATTGTCTCTTATCATTCGATACGTCTTCTCAAGGTAAGCTGTGAGCTGTTGCTTGAAAAGAAGAGCAGGATGGGCTTCAATAGCTTGCTGGAGATTGATCTTTTTGATCATACCAAATATACTGCTTTGTGGTGAATCTCCAGTTCTCTTATGTTTTCACAAACAATGAACAGACATGTCTTCAGCGAAATAAACGAGAGTAAGAAACTGGAAAGAAGAAAGATGTGTTACCATGAACCGTTGTCTCTGAGGAGCTGCTGCACTTGATTCGGATGTTCGTTGCATAAGTCGGAGTAACGCGAATGAATTGGAGAGCCAATATGCAACTGTTTCGTTATTATCCTGGTCCTGTAGAAACTAAAGAAGTAGAACGTAATTAAACAGCATGGGCAAGGTAATGAACGCTATTCACATAATTAGCATGTTGTGTGAAAAAAAAACATAATTAGCATGCAATCAATATCCTACCTAATATCATCATGCGATTAATATTCTTCCAAATATCAACGTGTATTGCACTTACGCATTTACTAGTAACTGGCGATAATAGAACAGGCATATCATCATGTTGCCAGGTGTGCTACAGTGCTTAACGTGGGCAAGGTAATGAACCGAACTTGCTGAGTTTTTACAGTTCCCTTAAATCAGAAATGGTGCAAACAAGACTCGGACGTCTGCAAACACATGAAGTTGTCTGACTTTTCATCCTGCCACATGGGATAATTTTTGATGTGTCTGCTAAAGGAAATGCATTAATATCAACAAGATACAATTACACCTTGCCTCTGCACCAACACGATATCAAGAGCTAGTCAAGATACCGAGGATACACATATACACAGCCAAAGTATTAACAAAGAAAGAAAAAAAGCAATCAATGGAACAACTGCAGCAAATATCAGCATCAGCCAGCAATGATGGCACCCTAAAGTAATAGGAGAGGTGCTCCAACAATGACCCCGAGATTCGCCAACACGTATGCGTCCAGGGCCACCTCAATGCTCCAGCCGTGAGGGCTCCTACTGCACAAGGAGGCGAGCCCGACGTCGCCATCCACCAGGCAGGCTTTGCCCATGGCTTCCTCCAGCAGCGGCGAGGTGCGCGGGAAGCCAAACTAAGCATGAGTAGAATAACTTATTCTACACCCCTAGTAAGAAGTGTACAAAATATATTAATCTTTCGAATACAGTTTTACTACCACTGTAGTAAATTAGTGACTTGGATATTTTTTTTTCTTCTGAATTACCACTTTGTGTACACATTTTTACTAAATTTTGTATACAATTTTATTAGAGGTGTAGAATAAGTATTCTACACTCACACTTAGTGTATTCGAATATTACGACTAAAAATGAGGTTTGAGACTACCTCTAGTGCACTCCCAATTAAGTGAATAATACGGTCAAAGGATGAGGTCGTCTGTGACTCAAAAGTTCTCCACTGAACAAAACATTTATATATGAGAACTGCAGCAATGGGCTTTCCCGCACAATACCCAAGGTCTTTTTCCAAACATTCAACCAGCGTGTATTCATTATCCTACAGAAAGGTTAGCATCAGTCCATCAGATATACATGGGCGCAGAACAGATTTAAACAAAAACAAATATTCTGTTATATAGTAATGGCAGGAGGAAAACCTTGTCAGAAATGTTTGGTCTTCCTAGAAGTTTTCCCTGGAGATACAAACAGATTCAAAGAGGTGAGAGAGAGACAGAGTCATCAGGCAATCATCTACAACAAGAGGGCCAGAGTCATTAGGCACAAATATAATGACTTTTGAGTACTGCAGCAGATTTGCTTGCTTCAGAGAGGTGACGGAGACATGCAGACAGAAGGTAAAGAAGCTTCACACTGATAATGGGATGGAATTATGTTCTAATGAGTTGGAATTGTATTGCGGACTACATGTGCTATTTTTTGTTTGTAGCCACAACTGGTTATGTGAGGTTACTTCCATTGCTCTATCCATTTAGAAAATAACTCATGACTTCACCAAGCAGACACTCAGTTTTGAAGTGAAGCATGAAGAGAAGCCAAACTCTCAGAAGGTTTTAGATGGCAAAGGTTTTGCTGAAACTTTCAGATTCGTGTATTTCCGTCTTCACCGATGTACCCCACCCTCATTTGTACATCTCATGTTTCTACCTCATTTGATCATGACATGCTTAATTAATGCAAGACATCATCATCCTAATGCTTTATTTTATTCGCAATCTATGGGAGAGTCAGAGGGGCTTGAAAATTCTGTTCAAAGGAATTTACCTGAGAGCCTTCAGACTGCTGCGGATTCAATGTTCCTTGGACTGCAGGTACATGAATAACCGGCAACTTTACCTTGTGCACCACACTGATTGGCATTTTGTCAAAAGTCTGTCCAGGGATAGGCTTAGATGTCACTCTATCCTCCCTCACCATGACTGCAGGCACATGAATAACCGCCAACTTTACCTTGTGCACCACACTGATTGGCATTTTGTCGAATGTCTGTCCAGGGATAGGCTTAGATGTCACTCTATCCTCCCTCACTATGATGCTTTCTACAAGGAATTGATCATTGCACTGCAACTCCCCTCTCGTTTCCATTGTTACAACTAAATAAGTCATCTCCCGTGGCAACAGGAATCTGCCAGCCGGTTCAATGCAGTACTTGTTTGTTGCCCCCGTAACCTTAAAATGAAATGCAATACATTCATTTGTTTTATTAGTTAGCTTTACGAGGCAACGGATCTGCTTGTCTGAATCCAAGCTAAAGCTGAGCTCCAAGGGGTGGATATCAAGCAACTCTCTTGGGCCGGACCTAATCTGCATATACAGAAGAACTCCTGGCATTAATGATACAGTAAATGATGTTATGATCAACTTCGTTTGAAGAGATTAATTAGACCACTTCTTGTTAGCACTTCCACATTAGTCCACGATCTAGATGCAAATACTGAAATATAATTCATCCGTTTCTTTGACAAATGTCATTCTGGCTCCAAGTTTTATTCCTAATTATATTTCATTCCACAATTTCGAGATAATTGTGTATCTTCTCTTTTGTCTACCACTATACCACTCTTCTGGGCTCTCTGGCTATTGCCAACATCATTTATTGTAGACTAGCAAGACGACACATACAAAAAGTAATACTCCCTCCGTCCCAAAATAAGTGTCTCAACTTTGTACAAGCTCTAGTACAAATTTGTACTAAGCTCAAGACACTTATTTTGGGACGGAGGGAGTATATGCCTAATACTGGGCTCTCTGTCTACCACTACGGAGTAACGTTTTAAACTTTTAGGCAAAAAGCATGTGTTGCCGGTCAAGTGATTGTACCTGGGCTGCCGTTGGCGTTACCTCATTGCTAACATTGCAATCCATACCTCCCAATCCTTGAAGCATCTTGATGACTTTAGTGATTGTAGGTCTTTTAGCCCGTGAAGGATTCATGCATTTTAGACCTACCTGAATGCATCTCCTTATTTGTAGGCAATCTGTCTCTAAGGATGTATACCCTGGTGCTTTCTACAGCGTATCTCTCCATTTTTCAAGCTCCTGTGGAATCAGAAAATGATTGTTAGCATCTTCATACAATAATAAATGTACTTCCCGGAGTGTTCAAGAAAAAAAAAACTCTATCTTGAAAAGTGAAAAGGATTTCACTTACAGTCTCAATGAATTCCTCCAAAGGAGGAATATTATCTGGGTACTTCCTTTCTCCTGTTACTACCTCCAAGATTATTACACCCAGACTGAATATATCTGACATAGTTCCGAGTATACCTTGTAGGTATTCTGGGGGCATGTATCCTCTGCAAACAAAATAGTATAATCGTTGAAGTGTTAAGATAACTTAAACGAAATAGATTATCATGCAGCATTTCACTTACAATGTCCCGTTAACTTCCATAGTGCACACAGTTCCTTGTTGATCAAGAAGACGTGACAGACCAAAGTCTGCAAGTTTGGGCTCCAAAGCATCATTGAGCAGTAAGTTAGCGGGTTTTAGATCTAAGTGAATGATAGGCCCGTCAGTTTGCTCGTGAAGGTACTGTAAACCACTGCAGGTCCCCTCAATTATTTTGTAGCGTGTGTGCCAATCAAGTCGAGAAGATTTATCTGAATCTTTAACCAAAAGGAGAGCCTTCGTCAATTGTTATCTGAGAATCTATCATGGATGTGCTATACATAATATATGAAAGGACTTAAATAATCTATTGTATACTATCCTTTCACATTCATTAAAATACTGAATGAAAAGAAGAAAAATACAGGACATCACACAATTACTGTACCTGAAAGAAACTCGTCAAGACTTCCATTAGGCAGATACTCCAGGCAAAGCAAACTTTCTGCCTTCCCAGCAAAAACGTATTTCCCATTGAGAGGGAAGTGTTCGTTTTCTATTTCATAGCAGTAGCCTACTAATCGTACTATATTTGGATGCTCAAGTCTCATCAGAAGATCAACCTCATTCTCAAATTGCTTTTGTGACATTGGGTTCAAAAGCTTCTTCACAGCAACTATTTCCCCATTCGGTTGCACGCCCTGTTGAAGTTATGTTGTTAGCATGAATATATGGTTTTGTATCAACTGTAATTTCAGCAAAACTATAAGCTCACCTCATATACCACACCGAAACCACCTTTCCCAAGTACTCGCGAGAAGTTCTTTGTGATATCTTTTAAGTATTGTAATGGCAATTTGTGTGGTTTTGAACCACAGTCACCATCCATCTTGATTTTCAGAATGCCCAAACAGTGTTACATATAACAGCAAACGGGCTTGTATTGACTAGAGGGCACAGTGCCTTCGATAATTCATGGTCCGCAACCTGTTAGCCAAAGAGTTCTCTTGAACAAGATAACTTGACAACAAAATACAATAATGACACTAGCTACAAAATACACTTTTTATGTGCTCTTTGTCGACTTAGAATATAAAACTACTTCCCAGATGACTAATGAATATGTAGCTAGTAGCTTGCAAATCTGATAGTAAGACACCATGCAAGCTGAATCTGGAATGAACATGCCTATGCAGCTAGAAATTTGAAGGCATGGTTTTTTTTTTCCTTCTTTTTTCGAGGGAAATTTCAGACACGGCTTTTTTTTAGCATACTCAAGATATGATCTATAAGACTAAAGATAGTGAATGGTGATGAACTGATAACAGTATATGGCTCAACCCACTTTTGGATCTGGGGAACTAAGAGGCACATTCTGAAGGATGCAAATGAGAACATTAACTAGCATGCATAAACGATAAGTACTGCCCATTATGCTAAGGAGCATGTTGGTGAAGTAGAGAAGAGATTACAACCAACCTAGAGAAGGCCCTGCATGTTTCCAGATATGCCGATCGTGGAAAGCGTGGATTAGCTGCAATGGAACTAATCTGAAAGAGGTGAAGAGACAGCGTTAACTGGAGATCAGAGCAGAGAACATGTAGGGAACCCGATCACGTGATGCCCGTGGGCGTAAACTAATAGCCCCATATATAAACAATGATGACCGCGCTGCGGTCAAACAATACTCGTTCAGAATTTTTTTTTGCTATCACTGTGCTACACTAGGGCAGCATATTGTGGAACCTAGAGAACTGTTGCGGTTTACTTGCAATGTTAATCGTGGAAGTGAGGATTAGCCGCAAGCCTGCATATGGGACCAATCACGTAGAGAAGAGGCAGAGACAAGATTTTTCCCTAGGGTGGTCATGCTTAGTCTTTGATGGAATTTTGCTGAGTTTTAATGGTGCAATTAACTGCTCATAGTAGTAATGTTTTTGCAAATGAGCTGAGTGACCATGAGACCATCCCCTGGCTACGCCCCATTGAGCCACCGTTGAAGCAAGCAGGGAGAGGGGATCATTGGGAGTGGTTTGCTCGTTTCTTTAAGGCAAAAGACCCAGATTCCCAGAAGAAGGCACTACATGACATCTTGCCGTAATTCTTTTTTGCCGACGACTTCAGATAATAAGACATGCAATCGGGCCATGTGTTGATGCCGACCTTTCGACGGAATCATCATCGCCAACGAACAGCACCTTGCCATGACGCCCGGAAGGCCGGAACTACACGCTACAGAAGTTGGAGCTCCCTATTCTAGAGGTTCAGGAGGGAGACGCCGGGAATTCGAGTCATGCAGAGGCTGTAGCCACCGTCTATCAACTCGAGCACAACTTTTTACCAGTACACCAGGTACATCAATCATCGATATATATTTATAGCTCTGATGCGTATTCTATGCAGAGAAGAAGACCGTGACCAGCTTCATGATCCCTAGTGGGTGAGATCTCTAGTCGGTGGCCAGTGGCCACATGGAAAATTTATTCCGCCCGTTGGAGGTGAGATCTGGGTGGAAATTTTATTTGGCACAAATCAAACCACCCCTTTTATATATACTACTCCCTCCGTCTTAAAATTCTTGTCTTAGATTTGTCTAGATACAGATGTATCTAATACTAAAATGTAACTTGATACATCCGTATTTAGATAAATTTAAGACAAGAATTTTGGGACGAAGGGAGTACTATAGTACACAATTTTTTGAATTCGGACTAGCTATCCATCAAGATTCATGAGCAACTATGAGCCATTGATTTGTTCTAGAAGATGAATATCCACCGTTTATCAGTACCACACCCAAGTGATCGAACGGTTCAAGTTTCCTGGATTCGCTCTGTACAAACACGCGCCAACATGACTCCACGAACCACGATCTTTCTGGAACACTCACGGCACCGAATGCTACCACACACCACACGTGCTGGTGCAAATTAAAGTCTGCTATTTTGGATCTGTGGCTATTTTGAACTTCATTGCTCAATGACGGGAGATCTGGAATATCTAGCAAACAACGATTTTGTCAAATCGATGGGTGAACATATACTCCCTTCGTCTTAAAATATACTCCCTCCGTTCCTAAATATTTGTCTTTCTAGAAATCTCAACAAGTGACTACATACGAAGCAAAATGAGTGAATCTACACTCTAAAATATGTCTATATACATCTGTATGTAATAATTCATTTGAAATGTTTAAAAGACAAATATTTAGGAACGGAGGGAGTAAGACATTAAGCTTTTACAAGTCAAAGGACTCGACATCGTTTGTATCAACCGAATTCCAAATGCAGCACCTTGACAATCCTTTCTCAAAATCCAACAAATTAAATGATGAAGTCACTTTTTCGCAAAAAAGAAAAAGTGAAAAACACGTGCATAGCACATGCCTTCTACTAGTATCGATAAAGGGTGGCACAAATCAAACCGCCCCTGGAAGAGGATCTCTAGGCTTGGGAGTTAGTTCGAACTCCAAGTCTCCAACCAAGGGGGCAGGAGGAGAGAGGGCAGAGCAATCTCCGAAGCAAGAGAAATTTGAAGCCAGCATAGTGTATTTTACTCTTCATATCTCCAAGCCGGTGAAGCCAGTAGCTGTTTCTTTTTTTGGGCCTCTTTGGATTGTGGGATTTTTAAAACGTAGGAGTAGGAAAAGCAAAGGATTTTTAGATGCCATGTACTGTAAATTCCTACAGGATTTCAAAACACAGGAATTTTGTCAGAGATGCCCATGGATGTTGCACAGGAAACAAACACATGAATTTTGAAGGAATGAGAGAAGAGAGAGGTAAGAGTGGATTGCATTGGACTTTCTCAAAGGAAAAATAAAACAGTGCTGCTACACACATGACAGATTATGGACGACTTCCACAGGATGAAGCACATCAAGCCATCTATGCATTGAGCAAAAGTGAACAACACCGTTGAATACTCCATCCAGCGGAGTTCGTCCGGCTACTGTCGTCCACACAGTAGTTTCGAAATAAAAGGAGGTTTGAGCTCATGTTGAGATTCATATGGCATAGGAGGCATAGGAATGGAGCTTCCACAGGAGAAATTCATATGGATTGAAATCCTTCAAAATTCCTTCAATCCAAAGAGGCACTTTATCTTGACTCTCAGCATGCGGTCATCGATCACATCCACACATAGTCGTGTGCTTAGATGTCTACAAGTCGCTGCCATTAAACAAGCCATCTTGAAGAAAAAAAGATTATATCTCCTTTCCTACATTATTCCTAAATACCTGTCATTTTGTACCAATACTCCACTTATAAATATAAATATTGATGCTTGCACAGTCTCCATATTTTGCCTCAAATTCACCCCGGTTTCTCCAGGTTATGTTGTGGAAACGGTAACTGAAGTGTATTCAGTGCATACCTTCTTCCTAAATCTTAACCATTGAAAAGAAATGTGGTCGTACTGCGTATTATGAAACAAAAAATTGAAGGATTGATGTGGCTTATGTCCCATAACTAATAATGGAAATGAAGTTGTGGACGGATAACATGATAGAGATTCCAGAACAGGTTCAACAACATTGGTTGAATTTTGATGTCACTCGCCTATTATAAAAATCATGTCCATGTGGGACTGCATATTCTCCAGGAAGCAACACAATTTCAGGGGCATGTGACACATCCTAGCTAGAACTACGCATGTAGAGGCCAATTGTCAGACATAAACACCGCTTGCAAGGAGCACGAAGAGAGATCCAAAGCCCTGTGAAACAATCAACAAGCTAACTTAGATGTGCATCAACCACCCTATACGGAATTGTGAAACAGCCAACAGTCTTTCAAGGGGCATACCAGGAAGACGGAAGCAATGGACGCTGTGACAATCTCCTTTGCTAAACTACGGTTCCGCCTTGAAGTCGTGGCTTCATAACTGAAATGGACAAATTTGCTGGTTAGATTTTTGTGTGCCTGAATTGCAAGTGCTGAAGTAATTGGTCAACTTCAATAATTTAAGGCTTGAGCTAACACCTCTGTTAAGTAATCAGTTTGACATTACCTCCAGATTTCATTTGTATACTTCCTAATCAGCTATATCCCGAGTAAAACCAGACCTATGCCTACCAGCACCACAAACAAAATAGATATTTAATCACCGCGCTGAAAATTATTCCCATCATGAACTGAGTTCAGTTTTGAAATGAAGGATTTTCGGATTTCAGTTCTAGGAATATTTCCTAATATGGTATTACCTGTGAGGTTCTTTATATTAACAGAATGAGGCCATCAAAATTCATATGGATTGAGTTCTTAACCACCAGTTCCATTCCTCATAGTAAAGTTCTTTTTTCCTTTGTGCTAATTCCAGTAGGGTTTAGCAGGTCATGACATCCAATTCTCATGTTTTTCCTATTTCTATTTTTTTCCCTGAATTCCAAGGGCTCCATTGATTCATAGGATAGGAAAAATGGATGATTGACATGCCCTGCCCATTTGAATCACATGGAATTGCAAAACAAAGGTATTGGCATAGGTGTGCGTTCGATGGAAGCTTAGGAATTTCTCCAAAAGCTGGGGAAAGTTCCAAAGCAATGATCCTAAGGATTGCATTCCTACAAATCAAACAACACATATGGGAAAGATTCCATAGGATCACAATCCTATGCAAATCCTGTAAAACTGTAATAGGTGACCCTGTTTCTTATGTTTAGGTAAGCATAGCAATAATGTGCAATACATACTGGTTGGTTAAGAGCCTTAGAGCCAATGATTTTTTTATCACAGTTTCTGGAAATAACCATAACTTGGAACTGTTACCATCAAATTGGCAGGGATAAAGACTAGCCAGCTAGGACATATTACTCTAAGTTGCATAATGGAACATACTCCCTCCGTCCGGAAATACTTGTCATCAAAATGAATAAAAGGGGATGTA